GGGGATAAAGTAAAGGGAACATCCTCACCTATGGCGCAAATAACTTTTCCATTCAGACCAGAGTCCAAGTCATTTACACTGATAAGAGCAACAGTAGTTCCAGGTCTGGAATCTTCAGGGATGGAGCTGGAAAATGAGGTAACCTCAATCTCAGGTGCATTGTCATTTACGTCAACAATCTTGACAATAACACTTTTTTCAGTTGTAAGAGGAGCCAGACCTTTATCTGATGCCTGAATTTCTATTTCGTATCTGTCCTTCTCCTCATAGTTTATTAAACCTTTGACAGTTATTTCACCTGTTAATGGATTAATGTCGAAAAGGTTTAATATATTTTGATTCATGGTCTCGCTGAATGAATAAATTACCTCTCCGTTTGGACCTTCATCTAAATCAGTGGCATTCACTTGTGTGACTGTTGTGCCAACTGGAGCATTTTCACTCAGCGCCACAGAATAATCATCTTTAGAGAAAACAGGTGCGTTGTCATTAATGTCTAAAACTCTAACAAGAATGTTCATGTCACCGGATTTCGGAGGTTTACCTCCATCCAGGGCCGTCAGTGTTAGTGAGTGGCTTCCTGCAGTTTCTCTGTCTAAAGATTTTTGTACAACTAATATAGGTATTTTGCCATCTTCTCCTTTATCTTTCACTTCCAATCGGAAATGATCGCTGGGGCTAAGTTTATATTGCTGCACGGAGAATGGACCACTGTCTCGATCCCGTGACGCTCGTAGCTGAAATCGGGCTCCTGGCAGCACAGACTCAGAAATGTCCAATGTGTTGTCGTTCTTCGGGAAAGTGGGTGAATGGTCATTTATATCCAGAACTTCCACCCTAACATAATGAACCTCCAGTGGGTTTTCCAGCACAGTTTTGACATTGATCACACACGTACTGCTCTGTGCGCACACCTTCTCTCTGTCAATCTTCCGGCTCACGTACAGGACACCATCGTTGTGATTCACATGGAACAGAGGATCCGCATCACTAGAAACAATCCGATACTTTCTGTCTTTCAGAGTGCTTTTATCTAATCCCAGATCTCTCGCTATGTTTCCAACCACAGTTCCTTCGTTCACTTCCTCGGAGATGGAATATCTCAATTGCGCTGAAGCTACAGTCCACAAAAACGCAGCAACAACGCAGCCGACCAAATATCCTCGCGCCCTTCCTCCCTTGCGTTTCCTTTGTTCCATGGTGAAACCCGAAATCATCAGTAATCCATCACAAGGACCGTAACTTCATTGTAAAGACGGAATCCAACATTCAGTATGCAAATAGCCATCCACTTGTAATATATGCAGAAATTGGGCAACCTGACCTTTTTCACAAAACACGCACAGAAACGATCCTGCCAGTATCGAAGTGAGACTGTTTCTAAGAGGTGGAACCACAGAGCAGTGACGACAAGCTAGCGGAAGGATGGCTTTTTACATTGCACTGACACCATGCGTCTTTATTCCATATTGCAGACATCTCACTGCAGAAGGAATCATTTGATAGTTCGTATTTTAGCCATCACTACAACCAACAACACGTCCTGTAAAAGTGTTAGAAAAACAAGGAATACACATGGTTCTAAGATTGTACAAATCACAACTGAATAATTTGTATGTATGATTATGTTCATGTGAACTGAGACCCTGAAATAACAATATTACTACGAGACAAACAAGCCAAACTCTTTCAGCACCAAGGACAGCGTGCTAAAGGTTTTGCGCTTCATCACACTCGTTTGATTAGGGCTCTGTTACACATTTGTGTTGTCCCTTGCTAAGTGACGGAGTATAGACAACGCACTCCTGTTGATGTGAAATAGTCAAGCTTTCGTTTACTCCTCTTTAATTTTAAACGAACGCACAAGCATAACATCTCGAAAACGATGGCACGAGTTACATTACAGCATCAACAAAATGCCACAGACATAGTCCAAGACAAAGTGCAGAACGTCAGAAATGTTATGTCGGTGATGATTAAGATACTGAATAACTAGATAACTATGAAAATTACGAAATACAGTGCTATTTAATGTTGCTAATAAACAGTAAGTTACCCCTCCCCCCTGCATAGCGTTAAATAAGTCCTACAGCTTGAAGTAAGAATTGCCAGAGGAAGCAAGGAAAGCCAACAAATCCAATGTCGCTGTCCAAAACAAAACAAAACAAAAAATGAACCAGAAGATGTTTTTGGTATGTTTTGTGAAAACAACAACAACAAAAATCAATAAATACAGTTGAGCACCTCAAAGTTTCCACTTAGACATTTCTTACCTC